TCAACACAACTCTATACCAATTTCAAGGCATACCATACGCTGAGCCACCCATCGGTGCGCTCAGGTTTGCTAAACCCAAACCCATTCAAGAGCCACGGGATGTAAGTTTTAAAAACATTATATAAAAATAATACAATTATTTTTAATTATTAGGATATATTAGACGCCACAAAACCGGGAAACTCTTGCCTACAAAAAGAATTGCCAAATGCCCCGGAAGTACAAAATCAAAGTGAAGACAGTCTTGTGCTGAACATATGGACACCAACTCTACCCACAGATAACACAACCAATCAGTCACTCAAACCGGTTATGTTTTGGATATACGGCGGAGGTCTTAGCGTTGGAACCATTAATATGTTTAACGGCGGACCACTGGCCGCACACGACGTGGTATTTGTTGCCCCGAACTATAGGTTGGGTTACTTTGGTTTCCTATACGGGGATCGGGAGGACGCGCCCGGAAATGTGGGCTTTTATGACCAGTTATTGGCACTTAAATGGGTATTAATTGCTTGTATTTAATAATAATTATTTTGTTTAGTAAAATATTATTAAAATGTTTGTGAATTAATGACATAATAATAGGTTAGAGAAAACATCCATCAGTTTGGCGGAGATAGGGATCAGATCACCATTTTTGGTATGAGTGCCGGCAGTTTATCCGTATCGGCGCACATACTCTCCCCGCTATCCAAAGGCCTATTCAAGAGGGCTATAATGCAAGGCGGGGCTCATATGTACAACAAGGACAGGGATCTGCTCAGTAAAGCTGAAGCCATAGCCAGTGGCAAACGTTTAGCCAAAGAGTTGGGTTGCAGTGAAGACATGGATTGGATTCAGTTTTTAAGGACAGTTGACGCCAAGGATTTAGTTGAAAAAACCAGATCCTTGTCATACCCTGTGTTGGACACCGAGTTTTTACCACTTTCTGCTCGCAAAGCATTTCAGGAAAAACAATTTAATTCCGGTTTTTTAATATTTTATTATACATTATTTATACGTATATTTACTCCATTAATAATTATATTTATAATTGATTTCAGACATAGATTTAATGGCAGGCATATCAAGCAATGAGGGCTCAATTTTGTCCGAAGTATATGTAATGCCAAATAAAAAGGTTTTTACATTGAATGATTTCGAGGCTGGGGTTAAGGCATCGGACAATTTATATCACAACATAGATGTCCAGAAAGTAATAGACTATTACGTGAAAGGTGTGGACACGAGTAGTACACCGGCTCTGAAGCGAGCGTTTTATGAATTTGTCGGCGATTTATGGATAAAATACCCGACATATGAGTTCGCCCGACAAATGGCCACAACTGTTGGCAATCGGCATAACATATACTTCTATGAACTCTCATATCAAAGTCCATTCTATGCGAAGATTCTTGAGTGCAATGACGAGGATATGGCTGTCGGACACGGAATGGAAATGCCATTTGTCTTCGGACAACCATTTTTAGGGCAAACTATCAAATATTTTGACACAACTGATCGAAAATTTAGTCGCGCTGTTATGCGGATGTGGACTAACTTTGCCAAATACGGGTAAATATTTACATTTGGATGTAAATACATTGAATGTTATCTAAATTTAACATGCATCATAATATACAGTTAGCTATTATCGAGTTTAAAGTATAACATTCTCTCTTAATTATGTATGCTTCAGGGCAGCTCCAAGGCAATTTTATTGCTATGTATTTTATACTCTATTCATGTCTTACTCATATATACTGTATATAAGCATAGTCTGCCAATCCGTGCATTTCTGTGCATTTGCCCGCATTAAAAGGCAACATACTTTATAATATGTTTATTGTTATCATAAGGCATTCAAATATATTGTTATCAAATAAAGAGAGTGGTGGTTTGCATTATTGGTAATGTTTTGTAAATAAATGTAATGGCATTTGTGATTAATGTTAGAAAATACAGCAAAAATAATGTCTAGTTTAAAACTTTTTTTGAAAGCTTTTTTTGTAAGATGCCATTTACTGGTATATAAGGAGTGGGGTTTTAAATAAAAAACTTTTTACTCATAATACATATTAAATTTAATAAAAATCAGGGCACTCGATGACTATAATAAGTGTAACAGTAATAGTGAATAATAAGTTATAAATTATCAAGGTAATACAGTAACCACGTCTATTTATAAATAGCTTCGCAGCAATCATACTCTTAATGTTCTTTGAAAAAAACTATAATTTTAATATTAATTTTTGATTTGATAGCAAACCGAACGACAAATGGCCGCAACTGTTGAGTGATCCGAATGTACCGAAAGTGAAGGATTTAAACCCCGACCCAAACCGACCCCCACTTCACGACCCGTACGGACAACGCTATACAGACTTTTGGGAATCATATTTTTAATCATTGATATAAAGACATTTTCTGATAATATACGGGTTGTGTTTACACAGTTATGTATCCATTGCAATATTGTATACAATAGATTCTATTAAATATTAAATAGACTTTACTGTATGTGCTATTATATATTTAGTAAATTAATTGTACACATTATATTAAAATATTCTTACAATTTTTATAATATTGGTTTTGGTTTTACAATATATTGGTTTTACAACATATTTGAATTTGATATATGATTATAAATTATAACTTATAATAAACTATCTTCATCAAATTTTGTTTAAGTAATTTTATATTCACTTCTGTTAGTAATTTTTAAGTTTAAATCTTTTTACTAAAAATGGAAATTATTTTTATACTTTTGTACAATACTTTTAAATAAAACTTATTTTATAACTTTTAAATTGATCTATTAATTAACATTCATAATTAATATTTTGCTAGCAAAACAAAAACCAATATTTAAAACAATTTAGGATGACAATGGAAATTGTATTGAAACATATAAAAGCAAATTATTGTATTATACAAAAGCAATATAATCAGTTCTTAATTAAGTAATTATTTTAACCACATTTATTTACTATATTATTTGAAATTATTTAGGTTATATGCTATTTTATTTATATTATAATTGATTCAAATCAAACAATTGTAGTTTATACAATAGACATAAAATAAGTTTGCTGTTTTAAACAAATCTATCGCATTTCTTAAATATACCAAGTTACTTAACTATAAGTTATATATAGTCTATAACACCATACTATTAATAAGCACTTTATTATTCACTATTAATTATACACTTTTGATTTTATAATTTTAAGTTAGACAAATATCATTGCAATCAATTAATACAGGCACATATTTGCGACCTTAAACATATTTTCTAAATCACAAAACGCGACAGTTGACACATTATAGCTCTAGGACATCATTAAAAATAAATTGTCCTGGTAGATATGTATCAAAGATCAATCAATCGATATAATTAGAAACATGTTCAGTTGTATTGAAGGTTACTTTATAATTTATTTTGAGGAACTAAATTAAGTATATTTAAATAATAATTTAGTTAGTAAAATCATACATGCACTTTTATTAACTACATCATAACTCTGCATTTAAAATTGTGCTTTAAAAATATTTAAATATTACTTTATATTATAGTTAAATTAATAACTTTTATAAATAATTTAAAGTAAAATGACAACAACTGCAGACGTGAAGACCACATCGGGAAGAGTGAGGGGTCGAGTGGTTGTGGCGCTCAACACAACTCTATACCAATTTCAAGGCATACCATACGCTGAGCCACCCATCGGTGCGCTCAGGTTTGCTAAACCCAAACCCATTCAACAGCCACGAGATGTAAGTTTTAAAAACATTATATAAAAATAATACAATTATTTTATTATATTTAATAATTAGGATATAATAGACGCCACAAAACCAGGAAATTCCTGCTTTCAAATAGGATTACCAAATTTTCCAGAAGTACTGAATCAAAGTGAGGACTGTCTTGTATTAAACATATGGACACCAACTCTACCCACAGATAATATATCCAACAAATCACTCAAACCGGTTATGTTTTGGATACACGGCGGAGGATTTAGCATTGGGTCCATTGATCTATACAACGGCGGACCACTGGCCACACACGACGTGGTATTTGTGGCCCCGAACTATAGGTTGGGTTACTTTGGTTTCCTATACGGGGATCGGGAGGACGCGCCCGGAAATGTGGGCTTTTATGACCAGTTGTTGGCACTCAAATGGGTATTAATTTCTTAACATTAGTAATAATTATTTTGCTTTATAAAATGTTACTAAAATATTTGTGAATTAATGACATAATAATAGGTTAGAGAAAACATTCATTTGTTTGGCGGAGATAGGGATCAGATCACCATTTTTGGTCAAAGTTCTGGCAGTTGTTCCGTATCGGCACACATACTCTCCCCATTGTCTAAGGGGTTATTCAAGAGGGCTATTATGCAAAGCGGCGCTCATATGTATAATAAGGACAGGGATTTACTCACTAATGCTGAAGCCCTGGCAGAGGGTAAACGTATAGCCAAAGAGTTGGGTTGCAGTGAAGATATGGATTGGATTCAGTTCTTACGGACAGTTGAGGCCAAGGAATTAGTGAAAAAGTCAAAAGCATTGACATATCCGGTGTTGGGAACAGAGTTTTTACCACTTTCTGCTCAAAAAGCCTTTCAACAAAATCATTTATATTCCGGTTTCAGTTTTATATTTAATAATCTATTTTATTTTAAATTAATATTAATATATTTATGCAAAAACAATTGTTTAGTTATTAATAACTTATTATTATTAATTTTAGATATTGATCTAATGGCGGGCATCACCAGCACTGAGGGCTCAATCATATCTAATATTTATATAATGCCTAATAAAAAGGTCTTTACATTAAATGACTTTGAGACTGGGGTTAAGGCATCGGACGATATCTATCATAGCATTAATATCCAAAAAGTGATGGATTATTACCTGAAAGGTGTGGACACGAGTAGTACACCGGCTCTGAAGCGAGCGTTTTATGAATATTTTGGCGATTTAGTCATTAAATACCCGACATATCTATTCGCCCGACAAATGGCCACAAGTGTTGGCAATCGGCATAACATCTACTTCTATGAACTCTCATATCAGAGTCCATTCTATGCTCGGATTCTCGGCTGCGATGACAAGGAGTCGGCGGTCGGACACGGAATGGATATACCGTTTGTGTTGGGACAACCATTTATAGGAAAATCTATCAAATATTTTGACAAAACTGATCGTCAGTTTAGTCGGCAAGTGATGCGGATGTGGACTGACTTTGCGAAATACGGGTAAATGTTTAAATTTTAAATGTTTACATAATTCAGTATAAATTTATGCATTATGATACATGATGAATTTTATTTTACCAGAGAAAATAAGTAATTGTTGCATTATTTTACAAATATCACAGTACTAGATAGTATAGTAGTTTAATATAAAGTATTACAATGATAACCATAAATAAAAAATTAGTGGTCCCAATAACCAGTAATAGCATTAATATCCAAAAAGTGATGGATTATTACCTGAAAGGTGTGGACACGAGTAGTACACCGGCTCTGAAGCGAGCGTTTTATGAATATTTTGGCGATTTAGTCATTAAATACCCGACATATCTCTTCGCCCGACAAATGGCCACAACTGTTGGCAATCGGCATAACATATACTTCTATGAACTCTCATATCAGAGCCCATTCTATGCGAAGATTCTCGGCTGCGATGACAAGGAGTCAGCGGTCGGACACGGAATGGATATACCGTTTGTGTTCGGACAACCATTCATAGGAAAAACTATCAAATATTTTGACAAAACTGATCGTCAGTTTAGTCGGCAAGTGATGCGGATGTGGACTGACTTTGCGAAATACGGGTAAATGTTTAAATTTTAAATGTTTACATAATTCAGTATAAATTTATACATTATGATACGTGATGAATTTTATGTTACCAGAGAAAATAAGTAATTGTTGCATTATTTTACAAATATCACAGTACTAGATAGTATAGTAGTTTAATATAAAGTATTACAATGATAACCATAAATAAAAAATTAGTGGTCCCAATAACCAGTTACAATAAATGTACGCATGTTCTAAATTATTAGTATTTTCATTATAAAATGCTTTCTAATGTGTATTTTGAAATTATTTTAAACATTTTATAAACTTTTTCTATAAATCTTTCATTTGATAGCAAACCGGACGACAAATGGCCGCAACTGTTGAGTGATCCGAATGTACCGAAAGTGAAAGATTTAAACCCCGACCCAAAGCGACCCCCACTTCACGACCCCTACGGACAACGCTATACACACTTATGGGAAACTTATTTTTATAAATGATTAAATTATAAAAGTAGTTTAATTATAGTATTTTCTTCAATGAAATTAAGATATTAGTAACAAGTTATTAAGAAACATATCAAACTAGATCATTTTCTACTGAACGATTAAAGTTAACTATTTTCTAACAGAAAATTTAGGGTACTTTTGATTGTAATATAAATAATTATAGTAACTTAAGTTTAATAAGTTAATTATTAATTTTATCCTGACTAAATTGATTTTGTAATGTTAATTATAATTTTCAAGAATATACTATATTCTATTTTCAACCAATTGATATAAGAAATGAAGTTAAATGTTTTTTTTAATGTAATGCTTTGTATTTGACAAACATGTAAAACTTTAATTTTAAATTATTTTACAATAATTATTTAAACACTTTTTAATTGTATTTTTATTCATCTTTTCAACGCGTTATGAATAAAGATTATTATTATAATTTTGCTAGCTAGGAGAATAATAATCGTACTCGCTTTAGATTTTAAAAATTCAAATCAATGTGAACTGCAATATTTGTAAACCTACTTGAGTTTTAACTCTAAATGTAACCTGGGTGGCAATTTCGGAATTTCCTGCATTAGTTCTTTCAAATGTAATTAAAATATTATGATAAACTTTTAATAATTTTGTTATTTATAAATTATAATAACATGTTTAGTATTTGTGAATTTTAATAAATATGATAAAAATAATTCATGTATTACGTATTGTGGTAAATTGACAGCTAATTAAAATAAAATACAAAAATAAAATTAACTTGATTGAGTTATTTATTTTTATATTTATTATTTATTATTAAGTTAATAGTAGCGCATTAAGTAATTTACTAACGCATAGCTAACCAGGGGGAAATGCATTCCCCTCCATTAAATTGAGGGATGTGGCAAAACATTTATTCCACCTATTGAGTCGATGGTAATTTTTGACTCAACTTGGTAAATTTGACTTTTAATCAATCAAGACATTGTAAAATTATTAATCAGCCAATACTCATCAGTAGTATAAAAAATAATTGTAATATGAATTTCAATTGGCCCACATGTTACATGTAGGCCAATTAGACGTGGGTTAATAATTTCAAGTAATTCAATTGCTTCCCACAAAACATTAGTATTTGTATTCAAAATACAATAAAATTTGTTTATTTTTACTTTAACTCTTCACTGTATTCAATTTAACCTTCATATCAATCAACAAAATATTCATAAATTAAAAATATATTTTGAATATAAATATTTATTATAATATTTTTAGATTAAAAGTTGTGCCATATAACGTTAAATTCAGACAAACAAGTTTTATCTTTTATTTTTTATACTTTTATTTTTTGTATTTGTAGTTTTATTTTTTATATTTATTTTATTTTTAATTCTAATGATTGATATTTCTTAATATATCGCTTCTAAACAATTAATCGGACAGTTAGTAGGGATTTAATTTTTATCAAAAGTAATTGATATATTTAAAGGAAATTATGTGAGATTAATGAATATTTATTCTAGATTAATTTTATACAAAAATATAAATTTTATTTCTTTTAGTTCAAAAATGACAAACTTTTAAAGATAACAATTAACTTTATTTTGGCGCATTTAATAAATCAATGTAAAGTTAAATATAGTTTTACACTGAAAAATATTTTTAACAACAATTCAGCTATGAATAATGTGGTTTATAGGATAGTTTGCAATTTAAACAATTTTAATTATTACACATGTAAAATAATGTGCCAACGCAATTTTATACATCATCAGTGATGATTCATCACTTAATATATCCACCATTTTAAACCAAAAGATATAAAAAAGATATTTTTACATGAAATTAAACTAGGATTAATACTCATTAATTTTATATATTTTCCCTTAAATCCATTAATTGCTCTTAATTATAATTAAATTCTAATAACTGTCCGATTATTTGGTTAAAGACGTTAAATTAATAGTTTATAAAAACAAATGTAGTTAAAAACAAATAAAATAACTCCTTTTGCGGATGTAATAATTAAATAACATAGTCAAATGCGCATTTATAACCCTCATACATGTACATATAATGTAGTAG